CGTGACAATTTTGATGATAAGAAGACAAAAATTGAACACTCTACCCGATAGTGTATTTTCATTACAACTTGCATGGAGAAGGATTTCTTATCGAGAACTTAAAGAAGCAACAAATACGTTTAATGAAAGCAACATACTTGGAAGTGGAAGTTTTGGTTTGGTATATGGAAGGACACTTTCTGATGGGTTAAATGTTGCGGTGGAAGTGTTCAATTTGCAGTTGGAAGATGCTAGATTAACTAGGAGCTTTGCTACAAAAAGTCGAGTACTCAGTAGCATTCGTCATAGGAATTTAGTGAGAATCATCGGATGTTGCAGTAATACAGAGTTCAAAGCCTTGATAATGGAGTACATGCCTAATGGGAGTCCGGATAAATGGTTATTTTCCTCCAACTATTTCTTGGACATTCTTAAGAGTTTAAATATAGCGATTGATGTTGCATTAGCTTTAAAATATCTGCATCATTTTAATACATTCACCATTGTACATTGTGACTTAAAGGCTAGCAACGTTTTGCTCGATGAAGATATGGTTGCCCACGTCGACGATTTTGGAATAGCCAAGCTCTTTGGTGAAGGGGAGTCAATGGGTCAAACAATGACCTTAGCAACAATTGGATATATGTCACCAGGTTCCTTGTTTAGAATTTCAAACAGTTGATTTACATTTTCTTCAAATGAATTTGTGAAATCTTGAATTCGCTGTCTCCTTTTAAGTCATCACTGATCTTATGAATGCTTAATGCCAATGTAGAATATGGAATTGAAGGAATAGTATCCACTAGTAGCAATGTCTACAGTTATGGTATTTTACTACTGGAGATGTATACGAGGAAGAAGCCAACAGATGCAATGTTTGGCGAAGAAATGATCTTGAAAAGTTGGGTTAGCCATTCATTAGCTGAGAATACAATAACTGAAGTTGTGGATAACAATTTGCTCGGAAAAGAAGACGAGAATTTCTCTAGAAAGGAGCAATGCGTCTCATCCATTTTGGCTTTGGCGATCGAGTGTTTGCATAACATTCCTAGAGAAAGAATAAATATGAGAGAAGTTGTGACTAGGCTTCGAAAGATTAAAGCTACATTCCTAGCAAGATAGAACAGTTTTGACACTAAATAGAGGATCCCAATTCTCTAACAAATTTGGACGTTCCCAATCGGTAGCTTTGATCAATTAATGAACTGGCAATAATAAATGCAAATTTAGTTTTTGAATAAATGTAGTTTTAAATTTTAATTGACAACTCTGTTTATTCTGAATGGTTTTCTTTCCTTATTTTTAAGCCAAATATAGACATTGTCCGGTTGTGTGCTCATATAGTATAGTTGTACTGTAATAAAATTACAATTTTATAATGAATAAATTCAATTTTATTTATTAATTACTATTATTGTATTTTATTGAATATTGAGTATGTGAGTGAAAGTGTTTATAATAACTTGTGCTAATATAAGTAGGGCGTTGTTGGATTGATCATGTAAACATACGGATCGTGACAAGTAATAAAATGAATTTTCAAGTCCAAATATTGATCCTGCAAAGACTAAATACTTACTATCATTTTTCCCCCTAATCTAGCTTAAATCCAAATTAATGTGGTAACCTATTATCAAATTCAGGGGTGTATGTCATAACTAATCTCTACTAAGCTAATCTAAATCTATCTACTATTTACTAAGTTGTGGAGGACTATTACGTTTATGTGGTTAGTAATTCCGATTTCATTAGGTTATATAACATTAAATCAGTACAATTTTATTTAGCCCATTCTTCCTATGTATTCACAATTGAATTAACCAATTTTAGTTAATAGACTTTCTCGAGCAAAATTAGCCATATTCACATGCTCAAATTTACTATATGTTCTATGTAAATTCATAATATGTAAAATCATTCCATTATAGGAATTTAATAATGATTTCATATAATCACCTCTCAATCTCTTATAAAACGTTTGTCACTTATTACATGAACTAGATACAGTCTCATCAACGTACTTAAATTAAGTAATTGGTGATCAAGCAATTGAATGCAAATCAAACACATAATAAGCAATCAACGCATAATCAAACTTGTATGGAATCAATTGAATTAAATAATCATTAAACCTAAGTAATCAAACTCCCAGACGCTGATGAAACCCCTTTGTAACCAAGTGAGCTTTGTACTTATCAACAAATCCATTAGATAAATGCTTAGTACGAAAAGCCCATTTGCAACCAACCAGATTTTGTGTTGGATCAGAGGGAACTAGTTCTAATGCCCTATTCTGAACCAGAGTATCATACTCATCAGAAATTGTCTTACGCCACTTGGGATCCTTGATGGCCTGATTCATGGATGTGGGTTCAATGTCATTAGAAGTAGTGAGCTGAGAAGTTAGGTTCAATTTAGTGATTGGCTTGTGAATGTTTTTTTGGATCAAGTGAAAATAACTTGGGGATGAGAGGCTAAAGTGGTGGAAGAGGAGTTGGTTGGTTCAAATAAGGATGTATTCAATAGAGGTGGGATGGATGTAGTACTAAGTGATTGGGCTATATTATGTAGGGATGGTTGAGCCACGGCCATGGAACTTGGGCTTGAAAGGTCATAGCAAGGGATGGTGGTGCTATAATGCTATTGTTTGGGTTTGTAGACATTGTAAGACGACAAGGAAAATGGTTTTGGTACATGGGGGTTGTAGGTTTTGAGGCCATGGATAACATGTTGGTAATTGGGAGGAAGGATATAGAGGGACACCAGTCAGATGTTGATTCGGATGGATGGTCCAGATGACTCTTAAGTGAATTGAAAGGGAAAATGGCCTCCACAAATTTGACATGACGTGACGTGACGTGACGTATAGATATGAGCGGATGTAGGTTCAAGACATAGATAAACACTTTGAGTGGAAGAGTAATCAATAAAAACACAAGGAGATGAACAAAGAACAAGTTTGTTAGAT